AGAGAGAGCGAAGAGAGAGAAAGTCTCTGAGAGAGAAAAAAAAAAAAAAAAAATAAGAGAGAGAGAGAGAGAGAGAGAGAGAGAGAGAGAGAGAGAGAGAGAGAGAGAGAGAGAGAGAGAGAGAGAGAGATCATATTTGTATTGAAAGCAGCAATAGGCAGGAGGAGAATGGAGAGATTATGGACAAAATCATCCTTGTGATCACATTTGCCAAATGGAGAGATTGATGTGGGGAAGTGTTGATAAGTAAATGGGTTGGGCTGGATTACATTGGATTGCATTGCATTTGTTTTGATTGGATTGGATTGACTAGATTGGATTGCAATGGATTGCATCGGACTGGATTGGATTGGATTGGATACGGTGTTTATCTTAAACCACTAGTACCTTTGCCGAGTGGGAAAACAGCGGGCCCCGGGCGGGGCTCCGACCTTTTAGGAAGGCCGAAACGAAATCGGGCCCGGCCTCCGATTTTTTGGGAGTTTGGGAAAACTGTCAGTTTTCCCTATTTTGATTAGTATTTTTCCAACACTGGCGGAGGTACTAGTGCTTTAAGGTCACAGTGCGCAGTCTCTGAAGAGGACAGAATGGAAGTTAACGAATCTGGGGTGTCTCTTCAACGAATCATCCCAGGCTCCAAACCCCATCATCATTTTTATTTCTTTTATTTCCCTTCAGCCCCCATCATAGACCAGCCTCAAGTATGAAGTTATAAACTATGTTTGCAGTACAATGGGCTTTGTTTCTCCACTTCATAGGTCATATATACCTTGCCCCTTCACTGGGCCTTCAGGTCCCAACCCCCATTTCACAAAAGCCCCTGCTTTTGGAGGTACTCCCCCACGAGCATTCCTGGATGTGTCCTCTGAGCTTTTCCACGGACAGGCCTGGCTGCGTCCACAGAAGTTAAAAAACTGTCCGACTGTCTTCACCCGAAAACAACGCCCAGGCATTATTTTCAACTTACCCTAAAAAGGTCAGATTTTCGTTCTTACAGTTTTTTACTCACTTTTTTGTTCTCAAATTGAACGCCCCTTCGAATATAACGCTCGGGCGTCATATTCGAAAAGAACGCCCGGGCATTATATTTGAATGTTCCATGGGCAGAGTGCCTCGTAGGTAGTGTACATGGGTTTTAAAGGGCGGGGAGGGGGATATACATGGGTTATAAAGGTGGGGGGGTCGAAACTTGAAAGGGGTTTTGACTTCCAAGGGGTATATTTCGTTTGTTTTTTTTTCCCGAGTTTGTATTACTTATAAGGAATTCTGAAGTGACCCTAAGCCAAAAGTTGGTCGTATTGCAATTCTGGACAACATTTTTTTTTACAGAATTTTAAAATTTTTGATTTCTTTTTTTCGGAATTTTGGGGTCCCACCGAAGTTGCAACCAATTTACTGAATACAACACCTGGGCGTTATAAACGAATATAATATAAAGCCCGCCAGCCCGGCACGTTTTACATTCGTATCATACTTGCGGCGCATCGACGTGCGCTGCACCGCGCACATGCGCCGCACTGCGCACAGCGCACGACGCGCGTGCACGGGGTGCGGCGCACCCCGAAAATAAGGGGTCGAGGGGAAAAAAAAAGTTGGGGAGCGGTGTTCGTTTTTTTGTTTGTTTGTGTGTGTGTGTGTGTGTGTGTGTGTGTGTGTGTGTGTGTGTGTGTG